GAAGCTCGCTACAAGGTTAGAGTAAGCAACATTATCCATATGGAATACGACCTCATTATAAACCTTAAATTTCAAAATTGAAAACCCAAAAATTTAACAAAGGAGGCCTACCTCGATTTTGGACATGCCTGAATACGGATCGCTAGCTTCGATCCAAGATATTCCAATATTGCCCTCCTTCTGTGATCTCCATTTTCAATTGATTAAAGTGAAGAACGCTAGCTTCGCTGGTGTTGACTTGAAGAACCCTATATTTCATCATAAGCGAGTTTGAAGCTATTTTGCTCAATTTGGCCATTTAATTTTGACTCAGTTGCGATTTTGCTCAATTTGGCCATTTAATTTTGACTCAGTTGCAAGTGAGTGACGCGTGTAGTTGAGTCAAATCAGGAGATTTGAGGCGCCCTGGACCATGGCACGGAAAACGGCACGTGAGACGCATGTGTCGTCCGCCGATGAGTTAAGCAGGTCAATTGAGATGAATTCACCCACTTCATGATCTCTTTGAAACAAGCACCGCTCTAGGATTTCTTTTGCCAAAATCGGCCTCCTTTTAGGAGCCTTTTCAAAATTTCCTTTTGTTTTTTGGTTCTTCGGGGCAAGTACCATGGCGAGTGTCTTCCTCTAACGTAGAAAAATCATGCAAATCTAATGTGCACAAAGCAGATATGATGCCCTGCAAGAAAATCATCAAATTTCAACCGTGGCTCTACCTTACTGTTATCTCATATTGGCTATTACGATCAAAGCACAAGCAGCAGTTCAATTGGAAGCTGAGAGGAGGAGCCGTTTGCGGGCGAATTCGAGGTTTTGCCTAAGCAAAAGCAGGAAACGTTTTCAATATTGTTGCCAGAACGTGAGAAGAGAAGAGGAAAGTAAAAAGGGCTGTGAGTATTGCTTGGGGAGCAAGTGACGTGACCATTAGCTGCCTTTGTTTCTCTCTTCTACCAGTCAAGCGCAGATCAACTCCTGCTGCAGTTGGTGCGAGCTTTTCGATATTCGGGGCACCACCAGGAGCGGAGCGGGAGTGGTTACTTCGGTCTAAGTTTGACCAAATTAAAATTAAAGAATTTGACATTGGGATCCAGCCAGGATTGAAATTAGGCAATATTACAGGTAATTATCAGGTACAGGTAACTCCCGCTAAGCAGGCATTGTTTAAAGCCTTCAATAAAGGAGACGAGCAGTGAAGGAATGAATCGAATCTCAAAGCGCAATCTTACCCACTACCCCCTAATCAACTCCATGTGTGCACGCAAGCGGCATTGACCGACCAACTCTGTTTGTTTGCACGACTCCAGGGAACCCATATAAATAAAAGGAAAACGCTTGCATGATGGTCAACCCTCAGCCCCACATTTCCACGAGAGAGAGAGAGATCTGTGTTTTGCTTGGAAATTTCCACGCACTTGTGTTGGACAATGGGAAATTTCCACGAAGCGGGACTGGTTACTTCAGTCTAAGTTTGACCAAACATGCTCTTCCAAGGTTAAGGGCAGAGTCGTAAACCCATTTTCTTTCTTCCGAGTCTCAACAAACACAAACCCACACAATGGCTCCCCCTCCTCCTCCGCGATCCGTCCGATTCGTCTCCGACTGTTTCGTCAAGCCGCCCCAGCTTCCGCCGCAGTCCGACCATCCCCTCCACTTGCCGCCATGGGACCTCGCCATGCTCTCCGTCCACTACATCCAAAAGGGCCTCCTCTTCCCCCTCCCTCCTAGCTGCCTCGACCCTGGCTTCGACCGCCCCGCCTTCATCCATTCTTTCTTGGGAAAGCTCAAGCGCTCTCTCTCTTCCGCCCTCTTCCACTTCTACCCGCTCGCCGGCCGCCTTGCCACCCTCAAGCGGCCCGACCCCCCGTTCTATACTGTCTTTGTCGATTGTGCCAACAGCCCTGGGGCCCGATTCATCCATGCCACGGTCGACATGACGGTGGCCAACATACTCTCCCCTACGTACGTCCCGGCGGTCGTCCTGTCCTTGTTCGACCACGACCGGGCGATCAACCACGACGGCCATGCCCTGTCCCTGCTGTCCGTGCAGGTCACCGAGCTTGCCGATGGCGTCTTCATCGGGCTCTCCATGAACCACGTCGTCGGCGACGGCTTATCCTTCTGGCTCTTCTTCAACTCGTGGTCCGAGATCTTCCAAGCGCAAGAGAAAGGCGCCATTGATGTCGTTCAGCTATCGCATCCCCCGGTCCTGACCAGGTGGTTCCCGGAAAGCCATCCCGGCCCGTTAAGCCTGCCTTACACAGACGATCCCTCATCGTTCCTCGCCCGCTATGAAGCCCCTGAGCTCAGGGAGCGAGTCTTCCACTTCTCTGCCGACACCATCGCGGGGCTCAAGGCGGAGGCGAACCGGCAATGCGGCACCACCAATATCTCATCCTTCCAGTCCTTGACTGCCCTTGTATGGCGGTGCATCACACGCGCCCGCCGCTTCCCACCCAGCCAGGTCACAGGTTGCCGGATGGCTGCGAACAACCGGGCAAGGCTGGACCCCGCTTTCGCCGGAATACTTCGGAAACTCCATAACGCCATTGAGGACGGCAACGACGGTGGATGAGCTGCTGGGCGGCGACCTGGGGTGGGCGGCGCGGCTCCTGCATACTGCCGTGGCGGAGCACAGCGACGCGAAGCTGCGGGAGTGGAATCAGGAGTGGATAAAGAGGCCGCAGGTGTACCACCTGGACAAGACGTTCGATCCGTACAGCATCATGATGGGGAGCTCGCCGCGGTTCGACAAGTATGGCAATGAGTTCGGGCTGGGGAAGGCCGTGGCTCTGCGAAGCGGGTATGCGAACAAGTTCGACGGCAAGGCCTCAGGCTATCCGAAATTAGGCAATATTACAGGTAATTATCAGGTACAGGTAACTCCCGCTAAGCAGGCATTGTTTAAAGCCTTCAATAAAGGAGACGAGCAGTGAAGGAATGAATCAAATCTCAAAGCGCAATCTTACCCACTACCCCCTAATCAACTCCATGTGTGCACGCAAGCGGCATTGACCGACCAACTCTGTTTGTTTGCACGACTCTAGGGAACCCATATAAATACAAGGGAAACGCTTGCATGATGGTCAACCCTCAGCCCCACATTTCCACGAGAGAGAGAGAGATCTGTGTTTTGCTTGGAAATTTCCACGCACTTGTGTTGGACAATGGGAAATTTCCACGAAGCGGGACTGGTTACTTCAGTCTAAGTTTGACCAAACATGCTCTTCCAAGGTTAAGGGCAGAGTCGTAAACCCATTTTCTTTCTTCCGAGTCTCAACAAACACAAACCCACGCAATGGCTCCCCCTCCTCCTCCGCGATCCGTCCGATTCGTCTCCGACTGTTTCGTCAAGCCGCCCCAGCTTCCGCCGCAGTCCGACCATCCCCTCCACTTGCCGCCATGGGACCTCGCCATGCTCTCCGTCCACTACATCCAAAAGGGCCTCCTCTTCCCCCTCCCTCCTAGCTGCCTCGACCCTGGCTTCGACCGCCCCGCCTTCATCCATTCTTTCTTGGGAAAGCTCAAGCGCTCTCTCTCTTCCGCCCTCTTCCACTTCTACCCGCTCGCCGGCCGCCTTGCCACCCTCAAGCGGCCCGACCCCCCGTTCTATACTGTCTTTGTCGATTGTGCCAACAGCCCTGGGGCCCGATTCATCCATGCCACGGTCGACATGACGGTGGCCAACATACTCTCCCCTACGTACGTCCCGGCGGTCGTCCTGTCCTTGTTCGACCACGACCGGGCGATCAACCACGACGGCCATGCCCTGTCCCTGCTGTCCGTGCAGGTCACCGAGCTTGCCGATGGCGTCTTCATCGGGCTCTCCATGAACCACGTCGTCGGCGATGGCTTATCCTTCTGGCTCTTCTTCAACTCGTGGTCCGAGATCTTCCAAGCGCAAGAGAAAGGCGCCATTGATGTCGTTCAGCTATCACATCCCCCGGTCCTGACCAGGTGGTTCCCGGAAAGCCATCCCGGCCCGTTAAGCCTGCCTTACACAGACGATCCCTCATCGTTCCTCGCCCGCTATGAAGCCCCTGAGCTCAGGGAGCGAGTCTTCCACTTCTCTGCCGACACCATAGCGGGGCTCAAGGCGGAGGCGAACCGGCAATGCGGCATCCCCAATATCTCATCCTTCCAGTCCCTGACTGCCCTTGTATGGCGGTGCATCACACGCGCCCGCCGCTTCCCACCCAGCCAGGTCACAGGTTGCCGGATGGCTGCGAACAACCGGGCAAGGCTGGACCCCCCGCTTTCGCCGGAATACTTCGGAAACTCCATAACGCCATTGAGGACGGCAACGACGGTGGATGAGCTGCTGGGCGGCGACCTGGGGTGGGCGGCGCGGCTCCTGCATACTGCCGTGGCGGAGCACAGCGACGCGAAGCTGCGGGAGTGGAATCAGGAGTGGATAAAGAGGCCGCAGGTGTACCACCTGGACAAGACGTTCGATCCGTACAGCATCATGATGGGGAGCTCGCCGCGGTTCAACAAGTATGGCAACGAGTTCGGGCTGGGGAAGGCCGTGGCTCTGCGAAGCGGATACGCGCACAAGTTCGACGGCAAGGTCTCAGGCTATCCGGGCCGCGAAGGAGGCGGGAGCATCGACCTGGAGATCTGCCTTCCGCCGGCGACGATGGCACTTCTCGAAGCTGACACAGAATTCATGGCCGCCGTGACGGTTTCGTAGGTTGGAGGGCCAACTTCAACCCGGTGGTTTGCGGTCGTCATGTAAAAGTCGAGTCAACGCGCGTGAGGAATTAGGAGGAATAAAGATTTGTTGTTTGACTTCGGAATTGTTGCCATATTTTTATCGAGGGTTTCATATGAGATAAAGACAACAAATAAAAAGTGAAATAATAAATAAAAACCTTTGTATGGCTCGTAAAAAATAAATAATTAAAAAATATTTTCTTAAAATCGCTTACAAGAATGAATAAACAAAATATATTTTTATTGTTCTCGAAAATGTTCAAACATAAATTATTGACAATACTGAATTATTTTCGTTGATCAATTATTTCAAATAATATAAATTATTATTTTTTAAAATATATTTTTAAATTCGTTCATTGTCCGAAAATAAAGGTGCCCTAATTTGAATTCGAGCGGTGAAGGAATGAATTATAAAATGCGAACCAACCAACCATTTTTCTCTCCTCTTTCTCCAACTCCAACCTTTAAAAGTCAACGGAAGGACACAGCCCTTGAGCCCAGACCAACTCATCGTCCGAACCAATGGCTCCTCGTCCTCCTCCTCCATCCGTCCGACTCATCTCCGACTGTTTCATCAAACCACACCAACTTCTGCCGCCGTCGAACCGCCACCTCCACTTGCCGCCATGGGACCTCGCCATGCTCCCCATCCACTACATCCAAAGGGGCCTCCTCTTCCCCCTCCCTCCTCGCTGCCTCGACTCGGGCGGCTTCAACCGCCCCGCTTTCATCCATTCTTTCTTGGAAAAACTCAAGCGATCTCTCTCTTCCACCCTCGCCCACTTCTACCCGCTTGCCGGCCGCCTCGCCACCCTCAAGCGGACTGACCCCCTGTCCTACACCGTCTCCGTCGACTGCGCCAACAGCCCCGGTGCTCGGTTCATCCATGCTGCGCTCGACATGACTGTGGCTGACCTTCTCTCCCCTACGTACGTACCGGCCGTCGTCCGGTCCTTCTTTGACCATGACCGGGCGGTCAACCACGACGGCCACGCCCTGCCCCTGCTGTCCGCGCAGGTCACCGAGCTCGCCGATGGTGTCTTCATCGGGCTCTCCATGAACCATGCTGTTGGCGATGGCAGTTCCTTCTGGCTCTTCTTCAACTCATGGTCCGAGATCTTCCAAGCGCAAGAGAAAGGCACCGTTGATGTTGTCCAGCTGTCGCGACCCCCGATCCTGACCCGGTGGTTCCCGGAGAACCACCCTGGCCCGGTAAGCCTGCCTTACATGAATGACCCATCGTCGTTCCTCACCCACTTCGAAGCCCCCGAGCTCAGGGAGCGATTCTTCCACTTCTCCACCGACGCCATCGCGGGGCTCAAGGGAGAGGCAAACCGGCAATGCGGCACCGCCAATATCTCGTCCTTCCAGTCCCTGACTGCCCATGTATGGCGGTGCATCACACGTGCCAGCCGCCTCTCGCCCGAACAGGTCACAAGCTGCTATATGGCCGCGAACAACCGGGGCAGGCTGGACCCCCCAGTTCCACCGGAATACTTTGGGAACATGGTCACGCCGTTGAGGACGGCAGTGACAATAGGGGAGCTGCTGGATAGAGGCCCTGGGTGGGCGGCGCGGCAACTGCATGCGACAGTGGCGGAGCACAACGCCGTGAAGCTGCGGAAGTGGAACGAGGAGTGGATCAAGAGTCCGCATATGTACCACCTGGGCAGAATGTTCGATCCGTGCAACGTCATGATGTGGAGCTCGCCGCGGTTCAACATGTACGGCAACGAGTTCGGGCTGGGGAAGGCCGTGGCTCTGCGAAGCGGGTACGGGAACAAGTTTGACGGCAAGGTCTCAGGCTACCCGGGCCGCGACGGAGGCGGGAGCGTTGACCTGGAGATCTGCCTATCGCCGGAGAAGATGGCGGTTCTCGAAGCTGACACGGAATTCATGACCGCAGTGACGGCTTCGTAGGTCGGAGGCTGTCAAAATTGAGCGATCCACTTTCAAAATGTTCTAAATTTCTCGATGATGTCGAAATTTGTCCAGAAAATTCTCTTTCATTATTATGTCGAAAAGTGGTAGGCTGGAAAACCTTCTTCGAATGTCAAAGGTTTCGAGGGCTCTAAACAAATCTTTATATTAATAAAAAAATTGTAGGACAAAAGATCTACAGAAGTCCAAAATTGCAAGCTCTTACCTTCGCCCGTCTGCATTTATTTTTACTCCTTTGCCTTGAAGTGGCGTGAAGAACTCCCGCACGTACACTTGCACGCGAGCAAAGGAGGAATAAAGACGTTTTGTTTGACTTGGAATTTTAAATTGACTTTTATATATATATTAAGGACACGTTGATACGTTAATTTCGTCGTCCTTTTCCCCGACAAAGTAAGCGCCGGCGGCCTGGAATACCGATCAAATCTCTTTTATCAGGCCATTCCTATTGTTAACAATTAACATATAAGACGTTTTGAGCCGGTTTAGATGGTGAAGTAGCGAACTCATCGTTTTGTGATTTAGAGGGCGACATAAGATATCCCGAAGGAAATTGATGAATCACTAAGCGACCGCCGAATAGTTCTTCTTGTAAGGTGGCGAATGCGTTTAGTACGGCCATCTTAACCCCTACCAATTGCAACTTGATTTTTCTCATTTCACTACAAAAAAACAAGGATTTAGTCACGGAAAATTAGTGACGAAAAATTATTCGTCACTAATTTGCAACGGAATTTGCGACGAAAAATTATTCATCGCTAATTTGCAATGGAATTTGCGACGAAAAAAAAATTCGTCGCTAATTTGCGACGAAAAAAAAATTACTCAAATGCCCGCGAAATCAAGAGCCGGAGAAAGGCCATACGCATCGTTCCGCAGAACCCAAAAAAGAAAAAACACCCCCCATTGCCTCAACACATCAAAAACAACACAATGCGCATAACCATCACAAACGAAAACCCAAGCATGAGGGAATAACAAACGGCGATTCAAACCTGACGCCCTTGCGAGACCCGGAACGAAACCCGAGCTCGCCGCGAAGAACACGACGGCGCCTGGCGCCGAAAGGGGGAGGAACCGAGCAAGATTCTAGGGTTGGAGTCAAGCTACCAGTGCTGTGTACCTCGATGGATGATGGATCAGTGGGAGATTGCGAGGGCGAGACACAGCACTTTCTCTCTCTTCTACGCCTCTGCTCTTCGCCACAGATTTGGACGACGGCGAGGTCGAGCGGCAGCCATGGCGAGGCCGCTCGGCCTCCCCCAGATCTGGGCGAGGTTGAGCGGTCTCACCATGGTTACTCGACCTCGCCAGTGCCGGCGAGGGCTAGCCTCACCCATGGCCGGCGAGGTCGAACTCGCCGGCCTCAGCTGGTCACCGGTACGGCGACTGGTGAAGAATATAGGGAAAAAAAAAATAAAAAATTCGAAAAAAAAAATTATTAAAAAATTAGCAACGAATTTTGCCACGAATATAGTTCGTTGCTAATTAACAACGAATTTTGCCACGAATACAGTTCGTGGCAAATTAGCGACGAATTTTGTCACGAATATATTTCGTCGCAATTTAGCGACGAAAATTGAAATTTTTTGTCACTAAATTTTGCGACGCCGAATTGGCAACGAAATTTTTTTCGTTGCAAATTCGTTTAGCGAAGAATTTTGTCAAATTTTTCGTGGCAAAATTCGTCGCTAAAACCTACTTTTTTTTGTAGTGTTTGTTATGCATTCAAGATTAGATTTATGAGTCGCCGCTATAAGAATAGGTTGTGATTGTGATTCGTGGGGTCAGTGACCTGATTACATTGTATTACAGTCATCGGTACCCCTTTTTTAATGAAAAGATTTGCATGCGATCTTCTATGAAGGTGATCATGCATGGTGCACTAACAGTGAAAATAAACGCCCACTAATTGAAGCAGTAAATTAATTACAAGAAAAAATTGAAGGAACTGAGATCCATCGAGCAAGCTCAAGCAAAGCCTCATTATTGAGGCCGAGACTGTGAACTATGAATCAAAAAATAAACATGCAACGATGCAATCTATGCATGGCCCAGGTGAGATGCCTAAAGAATGTACGACCATCCATGGACATCTAATTACGATTTTGTTTTTTCTCCATAAATTTGAAATTGTGCCTAAAGACTAAAGAGCTACATGAACATGATAAATGCATGTATCACTAAGTCACTAAATGACACGAACTAATTCTATGATTGTTGATACCTAAATTTTGGCTAACCATTTAATAATCAGTGCATAGAAAATTAGGGATTAATATCTAAGCCCCAAACAAAAATATTAAAATTAGATTGCATAGCATATGATTTAGAATCATGTAGTTCAATTACATATTTGCATTGGATTAGTGGTGGATGGACTTAAATGGATGGCTCTGAACTTAATGAAATTGGACTAAGCCCAAGTTCAAGAAAATTATTGGCCAAGCCCATGGACATTATAAGAGCTGAAATTTTCTTTGGAAAATGACAAGTTGGAATAATTGAATTATCGATTTATTAAATAATATAATTAGAGGATAATTCATATTATTCTATGAATATTCAGCTAGAAGAAATAATCAGAAAATTGCCTAAGTTGAGTATCAGAATTAGAAAATAATATATCTTGGCTCTTGTAAGATAACCCTGTCTAACTCTTATAAATAGATGTGTTAGGGCTCACAATGGGGGAAGGCAATCATAATTTTCAGAGAGCACAAGTGTGAGTGAGGGCAAGAAAGAGAGAGAGTGAGAAAAGAGACCGGCCGTGCCTCTCCACGGCCGACTGTCGCGCCTGTGCCTCCCCACAGCTGACCGTCGCGCTCGTGCCCGCGCCCGTGCTAGCATCTGTGCCCGCGCCCGTGCTAGCGCCCGTGCCCGCGCCCGTGCTAGCGCCCGTGCCAGTGCCCGTGCCTGCGCCTGTGCTAGCGCCCGTGCCAGTGCTCGTGCCTGCGCCTGTGCCTGTTCTTGCGCCCGCGCCCGTGCTCACGCCCGTGCCTGTTCCCATGCCCGCGCCCGCTGCTGCTCTCGTGCTCGCGCCAGCGCTTGACCGAGCTCTTATCGCGCCCGCGCCCGCGCCCACACTCGGCCATGCCCTTGCTGTTGTGCCCCACCGCCGTTCCTGCCGCTCCCGTGTCCGTACCTGCCTAGTCCTGTTGCTGTGCTGCGACGCCGCACCATGCCCAAGTCACCATTCATGCCTCCCTGCCGTGCCGTGCCCGTGCTATTCCCCGGGGTCGCCACTTTCCTCACGGCCAGACCTGTGGCCGTGAGGGTCCCGCCGTTGTGCCCACTGCTAGGGGTGAGCAAGATGGACCGCCCAAATCGGGACCGGACCGGACCGACCGGTTTGGTCCGATTCTCAGGAATATCGATTTGGTTCCCGGTTCCTAAAAGTGGAACAGATTTTCAAGCTGTCCGATTCCTGTTTCTAGGGTGGGAACCGAACCGGACCGGACCAGACCGATAAATATATATTTTTCTAATCTTTTCATATATATATTTATTTACTTTTTAAAAATTTTGAAAAAAATAGAAAGTCTAATATAATTTCCTCAATTCCCACTTGCCTTTACCAATAAGTGATTGGTCCCATTGGAACCGGACCGGATCGGAAGGACCATCGGTTCGGTCCAGTTTGGTCCGATCCCCGATCCTAGAAATTGGGAACCAGTCCTTCCAGTTTGGTTCCCGGTTCTTGGGTTAGACCGGACCGGACCGGACCGAGAACCGCTCACCCCTACCCCTGCCGCTGCGCCAAGCCCGTCTAGACGCTAGCCCAAGCCCCTGTTGCTACCACTCCAGCCAGGCCCGCGCCATGCTGGTCCTGCGTCCCCGCCAGGCACCGTCAGCCATCCAAGCCCCCACTACGGCCAATCCCTGATGCGCCAGCTACTGCTATGCCCGTTGCCGTGCTGCCTTGTCGCCGTAGAGTCACTACCCCTGCTCACACCAGGCCAGCCTCGACGCCCCTCCTGTCACCATCTCGGGCAAGGCCAGCCCACCGCGAGTCACCTTGCCGCTGTCCATCGCCGCCGGTCCACCGTCGTCGGGTCACCCGCCATTGGCTGTCCTGCGATCCGCAATCCCGATCCGCAAATTAGAATTGGAAATATCCGTGAAATTAGGTAAGAATCTTATCTAATCCTTTTTAAAAATATTTAAATTCCTAATTTCACTTGTTTTGAATATTTCGTGAATATTTTGGTGGATTGCTAGATATTTTAGGGATAATGCGTGCGATACCCGCAATATTAAAAAAATACCCCAAATTAGGAAGTTTTCCTAATTTGGCAACGTATTGGACGATTATCTGACCTTAACTATAAGGATACACGGTGGTATGGAAGATCGTTATCTTATCCGTAACCATTTGGATACGATAACGTATCTTATCCGCTTTCCAAATTCAAACGGTCAGCTTTCCATCGATATCCATGACCCTATGGATATGATCGCTAGCCCAAACTGTTTTCCTAATTTGAACATGCTAAAATGGATCTTGTGGATTGCGTGGATCGTTTGAGTGCGATTGCTATATTTGTTTGATTGCTTTCTTTTTAAAACAATGAAAATCCAAAAAATGTTAGTTAGGATTTAAATTAGAAATATTGCATGTTTAGGGTATCCTGGGTATATCTAGGGGATAGAATAATTGCTTGATTTAAATTGGGATTTAGGGTAGTTCATTTCCTAGTTTAAATTAGGGATTATTCTAGTCTTAATAGATTATTTAGGACATTTTATTATTTTGAACTTTCATAAAAAATACCAAAAAGAAGTTATTTTAGGATAAGTTTGAGTGTCTTTCTAGAATAGATTGCATGTTATTTCAGGCATTTTTTATTCCGCATTTTAATGAAAAATACAAATAATACATCATTTGCCCGTCATTAGAATTAGGCCACTTCGTCGCGTGAGATATAGTTCGCATGTTAGGTTTCATTAATCACATGTCATATTTTGCACGACATTGCACTTAGATTAGTTTTCATTTTAATAAAGCGAAATCCCTAAAGAACAAATTATGTGAATTGCTTTGTTAATTAGAAATCATATTAGGATTGTCTGTGTGATTTTTTAGCTAACAATGCAGATGCTTATGTTGCTTAAAGGTACGTTATTCTCCTAAGTTAGTAATTTATTTACTGCTTTCTTTATTGGGTGTTAAATTGGTGGATTACGCACCCGCAATGTCACCTTACATGTTAGCAACTAGGTCATAAAATAGATCTAGACTGCCTGCTTAAACATTTTTTTGAAAAGAAAATGTACCAAAAGGGCGTTAGACTAATTCTAGCATAACCAAGTCTCCGAATCCAAAATTTCTGATTCATAGGAATAAAACATATCTCTTTATGTTTTATTTCGGTTTCTAATCGACCCACTACAAATAAATTAGTGGCGACTCCAGTATGAAAACATTTGCATGTTAAGAACTTAAACCCTAAGTCGTGAATTGGTAGGGCTTGGGAGGGTTCGAATTAGGTTTAGACTTAATAATCCATTAGCCAAAACCCTAGGTGGTGCACCCACGGAGGTGAGGTCGCGACAATGATGCAAACTATAGGTAACCCGAATGAGACATGAAGCTATTTTTTATTTATTTTTCTTGATTAAATACTCTAATGTATGCAAAATTAAATTGCTAACGACTACATGACCGTGACTATGCATGTAATTAAGCCAACATTCATCAAATTAAGCTAATTTAATTAAAACATGATGAATAGCTTAGTATGAACTCTTAATTACCAAATGACATGCATACTAAATTATATGAATCATTACACGAGTTAACCTTATAATTAAATGCAATCTATATGAGATGCTAATCTATTATTATTTGTTTAATTGACCTTCTTCTTATCAACATGGACGAACAAAACTAACCCTAAGAACGTGTCATGACCGAATTGCATGCATTGAATACCCAATCTGGGCTAGTGAGGCCGGCGAGGGCATCCCGACCCTCGCCTATGGCCGGTCCAGGGAAAAAAAGACAAATTAAAGAAAAAAATTAAAAAAATAAAAATATTATTAAAAAAATGTCTATGTAGCACCAGTCATACCACTTAAGACGGTCGGCATCCATGTCAACGAGTTCTGGCTAAAATTGGTCAGATGGACTCAATTGGCAAAACATGAAAATGTTTTGGATTCAATTGGCACAAATGCAATAGGTTTATGATCTTTAGGTAATTTTCTCACCGAAAAGAATAGGTGTAAAATTTTCTTCTCGATTTTTTTGTTAGAATTCAAAGTATATTTAGGTTTTCAAAGTTATGAAAGAACTGTACGTGGAAATTTTGTAGATATCCCGTATTGAATCAAAATCAAATTGTAGATTACAGCTGACCGTGAAATATATTTATCGTCACCGTCATTAATTTGTGAATATAACCCTTCAAACACTCATTGATTGGTTATGATCAGAGCACAAGCCGCAGTTCGTTTTTTGGAAGCCGCGAGGAGTGGGCCGCGGCCGAATCCGAGGTTGTCCGAGCAAAGCAGGAGACGTTTTCAAGGAAGGAAAGGAAAAGGAAATTGCTCAGCAGGTGACATGAAAGACTAGCTAGCTGCATTTGCTTGTTTCTTTTGTCCTAATAAGATGAAAATCATACTCGAGACTCTTCGACTAGTCAAACGTAGATTAACTCCTGCAGTTGGCGGAGTCCCGTAGTTGGTGGTGTAGGCTTTCCCATTTTCTAGGGCACCCACCGGTAGTTGTTAGTTCCGTCTAATCTGACCACAAAATGATAGTAACGACCTTTGGCTTCAACCTGGAATGGGATTAGGCAACATAGCTATTGTCAGCTGATAATTCCACAGTAAGCGAAACAGAAGGTGAACGGAGACGGTTCTCTCGGACCTTGTTTAGAGTCGGATATAAAGGCGAAACTCCATGGGTTTTAGTCGAGAGGTTCAAATCTGGAAAGACCCAGAAATTAAAAAAAAGCCTCAGCTAATTTGAAGACGACCGGCGAAGGAATGAATCAAAGCGCAAATCTTACTGCATCTTGGTCTCCGCTCCCTACCCCCATCAAACAACTCCATGCGCACCAGACCTTGACCAAATCTATTTGGCAGAACTCCGGGGAACCCCTATAAATAACACGACCAGCAACCGATGCTCGCATCTTGTCCTGGCCTTTCAGTCTATACCAAATCATCAATACCCACCGAGTCTCAACGAACACAACCCACACAATGACTCCTCCGCCTCCTCCTCCTCAATCCGTCCGATTCATCTCCGACTGTTTCGTCAAGCCACCCCAGCTTCCGCCGCAGTCCGACCATCCCCTCCACTTGCCGCCGTGGGACCTCGCCATGCTCTCCCTCCACTACATCCAAAAGGGCCTCCTCTTCCCCCTCCCTCCTCGCTGCCTCGAGATTGGCTTCGACCGCCCCGCTTTCATCCGTTCCTTCTTGGAAAAACTCGAGCGCTCTCTCTCTTCCGCCCTCGCCCACTTCTACCCGCTCGCGGGCCGCCTCGCCACCCTCAAGCGGGCCGAACCCCCGCTGTACAACGTCGTTGTCGACTGTGCCAACAGCCCTGGAGCCCGGCTCATCCACGCTGCCCTCGACATGACCGTGGCCGACATTCTCTCCCCTACGTACGTCCCCGCCGTCGTCCAGTCCTTCTTTGACCATGACCGGGCAATCAACCACGATGGCCATGACCTGTCCCTACTGTCCGTGCTGGTCACCGAGCTTGCCGACGGTATCTTCATCGGGCTCTCCATGAACCATGTCCTCGGTGATGGCACCTCCTTCTGGCACTTCTTCAACTCGTGGTCTGAGATCTTCCGAGCGCAAGAGAGAGGCGCCGTTGATGTCGTCCAGCTGTCACGTCCTCCGGTCCTGACCCGGTGGTTCCCAGAGAACCACCCTGGCCCCGTAAGCCTGCCTTACACGGACGACCCCTCGTCGTTCCTCGCCCACTTCGAAGCCCCAGAGCTCAGGGAGCGAGTCTTCCACTTCTCCGCTGACGACATCGCGGGGCTCAAGGCAGAGGCGAACCGGCAATGTGGCACCACCAAGATCTCGTCCTTTCAGTCCTTGACTGCCCTCGTATGGCGGTGCATCACCCGCGCCCGCCACTTCCCGCCCGGCCAGGTCACAGGCTGCCGAATGGCTGCGAACAACCGGGGGAGGCTGGACCCCCCGCTCTCGCCGGAATACTTCGGAAACTCGATCACGCCGTTGAGGACGGCGGCGACGGTTGGGGAGCTGCTGGGCGGCGGCCTCGGTTGGGCGGCGCAGCTGCTGCATGCTGCAGTGGCGGGGCACAGTAACGCTAAGCTGCGGGAGTGGAATCAGGAGTGGATAAAGAGGCCGCAGGTGTACCACATGGACAAGACGTTCGATCCGTACAGCATCATGATGGGGAGCTCGCCGCGGTTCGACAAGTATGGCAATGAGTTCGGGCTGGGGAAGGCCGTGGCTCTGCGAAGCGGGTATGCGAACAAGTTCGACGGCAAGGCCTCAGGCTATCCGGGCCGCGAAGGAGGCGGGAGCATCGACCTCGAGATCTGCCTTCCGCCGGCGACCATGGCACTTCTCGAAGCTGACACTGAATTCATGGCCGCCGTGACGGTTTCGTAGGATGGAGGGCCAACGCCAACACGGTGGTCATGTGCAAGTCGAGTCGATGCCGTTAGTTTTTAGGAGGAATAAGGATTTGTGGTTTGACTTATTTCTTAATCTATAGTGACTATGTAATGGGTTTGTCTTCTACGTACAAGCGGTGGATCAGTTGATGCACAATAAAGTCATATTTTTGGTAATAATTACAGAGTGAATTTAGCCATTATTACTTGTGCGTTGAAAAAATCTAAATTAGAAGAATCTCGAAGTTGATTTATTTAAGTATAGAGTAATCAAAATTCAAGAGACGTTATTGCATTTCAAAATAATTTGTGCAGAAGGACTAAACCCAGCCTAAGTGGATTTCTTGTTGTCCAAGTTTAGATGCGAGGCCCAACTCGCTCAAAGAAGTATTGTGGTGTTGGACAATAGCCCATTTTGTCCAAGAGACTAGTGTTTGGGTTGAGGCCTTTCTTTTGTACAGAACCCTATAAAAAGTCCCTAATAAAAGTATAAATCGTCCAAATTTTGTTTTACACTGACAATGAACTTTGTCGCAATTCAAGATCTATTGGATTCACTTGATGGGATCGCCAGGTCCAAAGATAAAAGGAAATGATTTTTTCTTCAATCCGTACTAGTTTCCTTTACTGTAAATGCTTATTTTCTTCCCAAAAATTTTCAACTGATTATGATATTGAAACTTTGATAGTTTTAAGTCGAATTATCCTATTTACAGGGGTGAACGATAAAAAGAAATGATTTTACAAATCTATCATGTGATTTCTTGGCTCCAATTTGTGGTTTGCTCTCTACTTTTGACATTTCCTGTTTCCTCCAAATAAACCGAGTCTCAACACCGTGATTTTTAGTATGATAAAGATTAGGTTAGTTTTTTTTTTGGTCTATAAGATTAGGTTAGTTGCGATAAACATTTTTCGAACTCGTCATACTTGATCAGTATTATATCTTAAAACCAAATTTCGAAGACTTGCCGTAAGTCATAACTCAGTTTGGCTTTTGCTTGTTCGGATAAGTTGTAAAATAAGATTGGATGAGAAATTACATACACTTAGTATGTTCACTTTCATATTTTAAATAATGGTTCGATGCATCTGAGATTGATATCCCACCTTATTCAATGGTTGCCCGTCATTGATTATGACTAGATTAAATACCCAAATAAGAGAAAAACAATTCAAATTGAGAATTGTTGGCTAATTATTCTCGTTGTAACTAGACTTTGAGAGAGAGAGAGAGAGCGAGAGAGCACCAATCATGACCCAAGTGATCAAATAATGGTTGAAATGAGATCATGAGAGCCCAGGCTAGCAAGAACGTGAAAAATTGGCTTGAATGGGTGGGCACCAATGAGTTCGAGAGAGACCAACAAGCCAACAGTGAATATCGTTGCCTGAGGTCAAAATTAGCTGCGACACCTACCAATTGGCAACATCCTAAACCACGTATCGATACCCTCTTCCGTGAGCAAAATCAAACTATAGTAGACATATCATTCTCCTTTGGATGAGAGAAATGCTAGACTTTATCTGGCCCTCCTTGGTTTTGTTTATACCCCACTCTATGTGCTGGAATAGTTCACCTCATCGGACCGACAGCCATTCAAAATCAGCTGGAATCTAGCTAGGTATGATTACAGGGCTTAATGAGCAGCCCCACAGCGATACAAGTTAAACTTGGTGCTGAAACCATCACCAACTGGTCATTTTCCACATTGCAGGAAAGAACACACAAACAGTGGCTCATCCTGTGGATCGTTTGACTTCGTAAGCATCATTTGATTGCACTTCACCCCCCTTTTTCTTCTCTTCTTTAAACAAAAAGAGATCGCCACGCTGTTTCAAACGGTGACAAAAGTGGGTGCACCAAAGTTGTGATGCCAGATGCTGGTGGCAACAAATTGAGCCAAACTTGTCCTCTTCGCTTTCTCTTTCTGATTTCATCATCTACTTCGTGGTAATGGTCCCTGTTGTTCTCGATAATCTACTAAAAGAGAGAGAGAGAGAGAGTAATCAAGCTAGGAACATTAGCCCTCTCAGCCTCGTTCTCTTGTCCCTCTTTGATGTGTCCACCATCTTCATTAAATAAAAAAAGAACAGCACCAAAAAAGAAAAAGTTGAGAATCACATTTCAAACTCTCACATGTCCCCTTCTTTTTATCTGACCCAAGTTTAGAAGAGGTTGGTGGATCATTTCAATACCCTTTAATCACGCGAAGACACAGTACAAGGGCGTGAGTCTTGCCTCCCTCTACAATCCATTGAAATTTGTTCACGACACAACTCAAGACACATGAAGAAAAGAGAATCCGAGGAAGGAATGTCATCGAACACAAGGACCCATCTTTTCAATTTTCCTTCTTGGCTCAAGCAAAGTGCACGGACCTTCATTGTGTCGAACGAGTCAAACCTGCTCCGTTATTATCTCTTGTTTAATTGGTGATTAGTGCACAAATGGTGGTAGGTAAGGGGTGTATCGATGCCTAATATAACCTTATCTTGCGGGTTTTACTAGCTCACTAGTTGGCTTCATCCTTGGAGTTGAGGCTGTCAATGTCTGCCCACATCCAACAGTTTACGAAGATGTTGAGTCATATGGGGTTAGTGGAGGGGAATTTTTCATCCCAAATTCTGATATTCCTGTCATTAGTTGTCCATGTGTATTATTTTAGAGGTAGCAAAAGCTTCATATGCTCCCCTTTGTGGTCATAAATGGGGATAAGGCATGTTTGAAAATTCAAAAGGCAACATGTGGGATCTTGCATATAGGGAGTGGAAATGTTCCTAATTGTGTTTTTATATAGGATGGGACTTGCATCCGGTTCCTTTTATAGAATCCGGGCACATCAACCCGTTTTTTTGTTTTGTAAATTTAAGGGCACTCGCCTCGGGATTGAATGCTCGACTAGTTTGAACAATGAATACTCAGGGCACTTGCTCTTGTAAATGTACGACCCCATCACCGAAGCTCACCGACAAGCCAAAAATCAATAAGTCTCTCCACATGAAGTAGTAAATGCTCAAGGCACATGGTGGGCAGAAGTGCGCTTATAACGTGGCTTGAACTTGTGAGTTTCTTATGTTGTTTGATATTCTTATAATTCTAAATATGATCGTATATTTTGTTGATTGCTAGATTCTTAATAATTGTCTGTTCCTCTATACCCAAATTATGTTCACGATGTTCAAGGAGGGCAACTTTATGGTCCATTGACGAGCAGATTCTCGAATAGTAATGAAATCGTAAATCCTTATTTTTTTTTATAACTCTTATACAATTGTCGTAACATATAAAAACTTAAAGACTTTAGGATCAATAGACGAGATTTACTTCCAAAAAAAGGAGGGAATTTCTACCGTATAGCCAAGTTTCAAAAATGGAAAATGTCGATTGCCCCTTTTAATTATTTTATGGCATCACGACAATCCTCCCTAAAAATGATAAAAATGTAAGATTTATGACAAATTTATTCTTGATTTCGCCATAGCATCGCAACATTTTGGTTTCATAAATGTGTTGTGGAAATATTTCGGCTAATTGAAGCACGACATAATTATTGAAAGTGATACATGATCGGACCCACTTAACACGTTTAAACATGTTACGTGCACCCACATTACCTCACATGATCAATTAAAAACCACCTGGATAAATCACAATTGTATTTAAAGGTCTTCAACTATTTATTCGTATCCTTAGCTTTGTCATTTCGTCCATCTACAAAGTGTACTTGTGAAAATCTTGCAGTAGCATGTAAGGAGACGTATCTCGTAAATTATACTCATAAGGGTGAAACCGAGTCAAGCTACATTGAATAATTCAGGTTCGACTTGATGACGACTTGAGATCGACTTGTTTAATTTCGAGTCGAGCTCGAACTCAAGCTACTCGAGTGTTTTGTTGAGTCAAGGTTGCGTTTGTCAACATTTAGCTTGAGAGGCTCACGAACCTAATCGAACTTTCATTATTTTTTTTAAATTCTTAATAATCAGAAGTATGAACACACAATACTTATAATTACATAATATTCGAGCTTATAAAATCCGAGCTCGAGCTTTATTTGAAAGTTGACTACGATTGAGTCGAGCTTAAGTATCTCGATTTTCCAGGCGGGTTGAGCTCGAGTGTCCAATTTTCTAACCAAGTCAAGCTCGAGTATGAAAATTGGTACTGTTCAAGCATCGGGCATAAAAGCCTAGTTTTGAACATTAAGTATGCTAGTCGAGTCAAGTAGCAATGCATTGACTTGGCTCGTCTTGATTACACCTCTAGACCTTCAGATGCTCATGTAATAATTGGAAATTACACGACATCACGCTATTGCTTATGGGTAAAATGAACTATATTGCAAGCTTTTCTAAGGCGTCAAGAGATAGAGTTTCTTTTTTTTTATGTCGTTTTGCTCTAGTCATAACCAAGAACTAAACATCGTAAATGTGGATTTTTTCTCAAAATTACCACCGTTACATTCTAACAAAGACTAGAATGTTGTAAATTTCGAAAAATGTTAAATTGTCTATTTACAAATGTTAATGATGACCCGTCTTATTTAAGATTTGAACGTTGTAACTGTGGACTATTTTTTTTTTCCCTTTTGTAATAAGGATAGTTTACAGATGTTAATGAGAGTCTATAATAGCCAAGAAAAAAAGTCTAAACTTGGATATTTTTCCAAATACGAGGATTTAGAAAAGGTTATGATATTTCGTGGTAACCAAGAGCAAAATATTGTATATTTAGATTTTTACATTACGACAATTCATAATTGGGTAATCGTAACGATGAACGGAACGCCGTTATTTTTTTAATTATAACGATTTACAAAGAGTTTCGACATTTTGTCCTAATATTAAAGTGTCGTAAAATTTGGTTTTTTTTAAAAGAAATAACGACCGTGTACAAATATTTATAATCTTACGTCACTACCAGTAACGTAATGCCATATATTATTTTTTTTTTTTTAATAACAAAAATTTATAAATGTTCCTAAATGATCTATTGTAATTAAAAACAGAATGTCGTAAATTTCCATGTTTTTAATAACAACCGATTGCAAACGTTTACGATAGTCCATAATAACTAAGAGCGAAACATCGTAAATATAAATTTTTAATTATGACGATTTATAAATAGTTATGATGTTTCGTCATAACCAAGTGCAAGCCATCGTAAATTTGGAATTTCTTATATTACAAAATTTTACAAGGTTCCTCGTAAATAAGAAGAAAATGTTTTAAATTCTAATGTTGTTTTTTGATTACAACGGTTGATAAGAGTTATGACATTTAGTTGTAACCGAGAGTAAAATGTTGTAAAATTGGATTTTTTTTATTAATTACATTGTTTTACAATGGGTGACAGTGGTTCCTCGTAAACAATGAAAAAATTGTCAGAATTTTGCATTCTTTCAATCACTACACTTTGCGAAGGTCTGCGATAATCCTTTATAAGTAATACAAAATTTTGCGCTTTTTTTATTTACAGTGGTTTCCAAAGGTTTACCATGCTCCATTGTAACCCAAAACTTAACGTCGTAAATTTGATTTCCTTAAATTACGACGATATACAAAGCTTTGCAACCGTACGTTATAACCAAGATCATAGCATTGTAAAACGTCAATAAATTTGACTTCTTTGATCGTGTCGGACCTTCATATGCTAGTGAATCGGACATCCATTTGCTATTGTGCAAAACATCACAAGATCTCACTTTTAATGCGTCGGACATTCATCTTCCAGTGCGTTGGATGTCTGACCTTGCGTGAAAATTGGCAACCAATTGCAACTGGCTCAAATTCAACAACCGAGAATTTTTTTATCTAAGGATTTGTTTGTGTTTGCACGAAATGAATGATTTAGAAAATATTTTTTTAAACATGATTGCTTATATTACTTACAAAAATTGAATGAATGAAAACATTTTCATCGTTCATGAAAATATCAGATATAAATTGTTGCCGATAATGATAATATTTTTCTTTGACTAATTATTTCAAACTATACAAGCGATCATATTTAGGAAAATATTATTCATTTTCCGCGAAAGTAGCATAGCCTTATTCTAGTAGCTAATATTTGTGGGGTATATGGTACAACATTTTACCTTAAACAAAGTCCTCCCAAATAATAAAAAGTCCTAGTGTTTACAGGTCTTTTGAGACCTGAGCAGGTCTTAAAAAGATTTTAACCCTAAGGTCTGTACATTAGATTTTCAAGGTTGTAAAACTCCTAAGGGGATATTGCCTGCTAAGGAGGCAGGAAAAATGTATCCCTAGCAATGTGGGTGCCGGACCAGACCGAATGCCGGGCCATAAAATAAGGCGTTGTAGTTTAGATAGGTGAAAACACCCTGTCCTGTCCTGGTGAGGTAAATTCTACCAAAATACCGGGATCCAATGCAGCTCCCAATAGGCAAGGTAGGCACAACATTTTACCTTGAAGAAAGTCCTCCCGAATAATAAAAAAGTCCTAATGCTTACGAGTCACTTCAGTTTACAGCCATGTTTGTAAATGAGACATGCAAAATCGTACACTGAAGAGACAAGCCATCAGAACAGTAGTAGCCACACGATAATCAAAACCATCCAAGTCAAATTGCCTCTCGTATGGCATCCGACTTCCCCTGCCCTTTTATTGCAATTTGCCCCTGCCAATGTCTGACCTGACTCTTTCCCCGTGTCATCCATCCATGGATGAAAACGCAACGACAGAGGAGCCAAAGTCAACAAAAGCACGCATAAATTTGGTTCTTTCCGGACATTGGAAAGGAAAAAAAGAATAAAAACAAAATCAAGAAGATAAAGTTCCCCAAAGAAGCGTCCCAGAAATTTACTCCGGCCACGCGTCTGCATTTCTTTAGTTAGTTTTGTCAAATCGTGTTTCTTTTTTTTGGTTCTCGTCGCAGCCACAGGAACCCCGCAAGAACAAAGAAGTCGCGAGGGTGGCTCCGCAGAAAATGAGCGAGGAAAAAGAAAGGAAAAAAGAGAGAAAAGCAGACATGTGATGGTAATGGGAAGGTGCCTGTCGTGAAGAAGATGGAACCGAGCAAAGCAAGGACAGGGTGTGGGTCTGCCTGACTACAGCTTCGGCGTGTATTGGGAGACGGGTCTTTCTTTTCTTTAATTATCATGTTCATGGAGAGAGAGAGAGAGAGAGAGACATAAACCAACCAATGTAATGTAAGAAGAACCAAAAACGCAAAGCAAGCCTAGAGAGAGAGAGAGAGAGAGAGAGAGAGACAGACAGACACATACATTTGGTAAAACAGCTCCGGGGGGAAACTTTTAATTTTAGCTTTGGTTGGATTCTCTGGCATTCAATATCTAAATCTTTATGCAGTTCTTTGGTAGGAAACTGCTCCAATAATGACCCATTACTTTTCCTTTCTCTGTCTCTCTCCCTACCTGGGTCCATTTTTTCCCTAAATTGGTGGTTACTGGCCTCCTTTTAATTCCCTTCTTTGGTTTTGTCTGGATTTTATCTTCTCATTCTCACCACCCCTCCCCTCCTTCTCCATCCAAGGCCTTGCTTTGCCTCTTGGCAGCTGGTGTTTTCTGTTTCCATTTCTTTTGATTGCTGTCAAATTCTCCTGAGAAAGTGCAGGAGTTTGTTGGGAAGCTTAGATTAAACGCCCTTTTTCCTTTTTTTTTATTCTTTTTTTTTTCTGGAGGCGTTGATTTTAGATCGGTCAGCTTGCTCTGAAGCATCTCAAAGGTATGAACTTTTCGTATGTTTTCTTCCTGATTGATGGAGGGGTGATTATCGATCATTGATTCTGGGAATGATTTGAGTTTTTTGCAATTTTTTTTGAGATTTTTTTGTTGTTGTTTCTTTGTTCCTCAGAACCGAAGCAAGATTTTCTGCTGGAAAAAAATCTAAACTTTACAGGTTTCTGGGTCTGTTGTAAGCCCCTTGGTCTTCTATTTGGTTCTCGTAGCTAATCAATGTTTTGAGGGGGTGTTTGTTTTAGCTGATGTTTCTGTGGAACCTGTTTGTGCTGATCCTACATATATTCACAATAGATTCCCATGTCTGGGTCATTGTATATTGCACTTCCTTTATCGTAGAAACTTTAGTATAGAGAAAGAAGATGTAAAATGCATCACCTTTTATCGTCCTCAAATTAACTTTTTTTTTTTTGAAGGATTGATATTTTTCTCATTCGAATGGCTACACCACTTTTTTTGATGCTTTGTCTTACCTTCTGGGTGCATATGAACTTCAGTTCAACACTTGGATCCATATTGATATTGTAGTTGTTGTTGCTTTTGATTGCTGTACCTGCTTAGTTTTCCATTAGCCTAAATGGGGTTTCTGAAGTGAGTTCAATTGAGCTCTTTCTGTGATGCTATTTAATCTCAAAATTTGCTACTCTGCTCCTCAAGTTTCTGTTTGGAATAACTAGCACACGCAGGGTTTCACTGTTAATTTGAATGACCAATTTCATTCTAATTTTTTTTTTTGTTTTAGGATATTGTGTCACTATGGTGACATAGTTGTCAGTGACAATTCATACTGCTTCTCTGAACTGTGGATGCACTTGGCTTGTTCTGTGTTAGAGGATCATGAGTTTCAATTTTCTTTCTCCAGTTCTGATTGCATCTCACATTTCAAAATGGGTTTCATGTTTGGTGTTAGAGCGTAAGCAGATAGAGTTACAATAAAACTTTACTGGCCAAAAAATATCACTAAATTATCTTAGTCTCAGTTTGATGGAGCAGAATAAACTATGGAGCCTGTGGATAAGCGACTGAAGTGGATTAGTCTTTGCCATATCTGTAGCATACTTTTGTGTCTTATAAGCATTGCTAATCTCTCTCCATTATTGATTGCATATCAGAGTCGATGTTTGTGTTATATTTACCTCACCGCCAAAGTTTAGGCAGAGTAAACCGGTGATGGTGAAGACATTTACCACTTGTTGATTTGGTCCCACATAAATGGAGCAGAGTGAATAACTGGGCTTGATGAGTGGTGATTTTTCTGAGAAAACGTCTCTTGGCTTATCTAGAATCAAATAGGGCTAAGTAAGTAATATTAACCATTAGAACAAAATACGGTGCCTTATAAAGTAATTTGTTCTCTGATCCTTATCGTGGTGAACCTCCGTTCTGTGCATGATGTGATTTAAATTTGATTTACGGAAACTGGGTAAAATTTAAGCTATGAACTTTTTTTTTCTCCAGAACTTGATCACTGATCTTTCTTTTCTTTATTATGTCAGACATTCTCGGAGCTGACTGTGAGAAGTGGAAGTTGATTAGACATATATATCTCAGCCCTAATGCAAGGGCAGAGAAGTGCCATAAGTTCCTTGCCGGAAGCTCTTGATATTGATCATCCATCTTCTTCTTCTTCTTCTTCAAGCAATGGCATGAATAGTCATCAGCTTTGCTGGAATACTATACAAAGTTCATCAGAGAGCCAAATTTCAAGGAGTATGGTATCCCCGAGTGATCAAATGGCATTTTTGAACTCAGTTAGTCATGAGCGGCAGAACCTGCTGGGCAGCAGCATACCTGAGCGTGGTTCTAGCAGTTCATATCATGAGGTTGGTGGTAGTGAGTGGAAAGCGGAACATGGATGGTTGTCTTCAGCAGGATTTTCTGGTGGTTCTGGTCCGCTTATCGAAGATCAGCAAAGAAGTGCCAACAATAGAAGATTCTTATTAGATGATGTCAGCGTCAATCCGCTGATGATTCAAAGTTCTCGTTCTAGTTGGATTGGGCAGAACCTAAACCTGAATGCAGGTCATGGCGGTGATAGTTCTTTTTCTGAGTCTCCAAGTTTATACTCGTTGTCTGGACTCAATGATCAGCAATTTCCTCCCGCTGGTTGCTCTGATCCTTTCATGATACCTCCAGGGAACGGTAAATGTATTGTGGGAGAAAATGACGGTGGACAAGGTGGCTCATTGGATGTCAGGCACATACCTTGTAAAAGAAAGTCTCTTGAAGGACATATTGGTCAATCTTCTATGGGTGAAAGCTCTCATTTTCTTGAAGTGGAAGAAACTAGTGCGCAGCATGCCACTTCTGCTCACAGTAACATGAGCCCTAACTCAACTATGTCTCGTATGTCAGAACAAGCAGATCCACAACTAAGGTCAAGTGTGAGTCATGTGACGGGAATAGTTTCTCATGGTCCTCCTTACACAAGTGTTTCAGAAAGTGCGGGAACCTCACAGAGAAGTTCCCGCCTGAGGATCAATTCTTCTATGCACAACTATCCAAACTCTTCCATCATACACCCTCTGGGAGGCGCTCTTAGCAACTCCAATGACTCGTCTACCTCCCAGTCATCAAGATTTATTTCAGTTGACCATTCCTTGGACTTGCCTTTGGCACCTGCATCTAGCAATGTCAACGTCCAAGACCAGCCTGATCTGCTTGATCTGCCTTCTTTGCCATACCCTGAACAATCAATTAGGTGGAGTAGAGGTTCTATCACTAGACCTGGCACTTCTTCTAGTTCAGCTTTCTCTAGAAACAGAGATGATGAGCTGCAAGAAGCCAGCTTGGGCAGGTATTCGAGAAATATTGGGAGACACCCTATGTATATACCTGCTAGTGAATTGAGAACTTTGGTTCAAGGACCAGTATCTAGAGATATACCTGGCGGAAGTAGTGCAATTCCAAGAAGTACGACCTATAGTACTCAGGCTGGATCAAGTACATCTGTCCCTCAATCATCTCAACCTAACTCAGTGCCCCATCGCAGTCGTCATTCCCAGTACCCCCGAAGATTGTCTGAATACGTCCGCAGATCGTTGTTAGCTTCCATTGGGAGCGAGACGGATCATAGCGGTCATTCTTCAGATGTTTCAGGCCATCCTGCTTTCTCACAAGATGTCCTTTCATCTGGGTCTCGTAACCAGGGTCATCGTCGGTCATTCCCCAGGTCAGCACCTTGGATGGAAAGACATGGTGACGCACTAGGAATTCCGTATTCCGTGCGAACTTTGGCTGCTGCAAGTGAAGGTCGTAGAAGGCTTGTGTCAGAGGTTTGTCCTGCTGCTATACTTTAGTCAAGTTGTGCAATTTATGTCCGTGCTGGAAGTGAGGCCATGTTCTGTGCTTACGTCTTTAAATATGGATGCTTCGACTGCAGTCGGTGTTTGACTTGTTACCCTTGAGTGGTCCCTGTCTTTCCTTTTCTTGGTTTCTCTCCCCATATGAATCAAGCATCTACTGTGCTGACAACAGCTTTGGAATGAGATGTTCCTCTGATTATCCTTATTAGCCAACGAAACCCATGTGGACACGATAAAATGTGAGCGTGGTTATCGGACATGAAATCCATCATAATGAATTTGTTAAGAAAGGTTACCCAAATGTTTGAAGTGACAAAATGATGCATGTCTGCCTATACTACATCTTTAGAACAAGGGATATTTGTTACGACTTTTCTCTTAGGACACATTCAAATGTCCTTTCTAGGTTTTGGATACTTGCTGAGCCCAAAATTCAGAGGTAAAATATGTCAGATGCGAGGAAGTTACGACCACACGTACCTATATGAAAGTCCTCGAGTAACACAAGATGGATTAGCTTCCGACTTTAGCAATTGCTCTAAAGCTTAGATCATACTTTTGCCTCTTTTTCACATGTATCCAAACATTTATTAAGGCTACCAGTTTCATGTAATCTCTGTGTCTTGCATGGTCAATAATGAATGCTTGCTTTATTTCATGGTTCGAACTGTCTAAGTATACTTTCGCAAGCCATGTTAATGCCTAGTCTCTTGGTTTTTGTAATTGTGATTATGGATTATTGCCACAATTCAAATTTTACTCTGGCCATCACTTTTTTAGTGCTTTCGACTTAAAAATATTTTGAGAGGCATGAGGGATTAAGTGGAACATAATTGACCGAGTAGTAGAGTCGTGGACTCATCTGTTTCTTCGACATTTCTGATTGTGCATTAGCCTCATCTGGTTTCATTTATTGTGGAACAGATTCGGAGTGTATTGGATCATATGCGCCAGGGAGAGGGCTTACGTCTTGAGGTTAGAATTTTGTGTCCAACGTTATAAGCTCAACTACGGATTGCTGGAAGCATGTCATTGGAGACCGGAACCATTAAGGAAATAAAATTGGCCCTTGCCAATGAATCTTTCGGACATTAGATAAAGTGGCGATTGTCCACGTTGTGCACATAAGATGCTAGAAGTGCTAGGAGTATACTGTTGGGACATGATGGTTAATCAATATCTATTGCAAGAATTCATCTCGTGTAGAACCCATCATATCTCACAGTCTGAACTGAACAACATACAGGCTTCCCAACTGCATCCCATGGAATCATAAAAACTTTTAAGAATTCCTATGTGCCTACTTAAAATTTTTTCTCGGAGATGCAATGTGTATTAGTATCACTATCAGTGAGTGCAAGCCCAGACCATGACAATTATGCACAAGTCATATTGCACTGGTGGTGAAAGATGCTAGTTTGATATTTAACCTTTGCATGTTTTGTTTCATGTTTAGGATGTTATGATTCTCGATCAGTCAGTATTCCTTGGGGTAGCTGATATTCATGATCGGCATGGGGACATGCGGCTTGATGTCGATAACATGTCTTATGAGGTAAATGCTGAAGCTGTTTCTCTCAAAATATTTGTTAATACCTTGAAATTATTAAGAAGCATGAACATAGTTTAAATGCTGGGGTGCCAGGAATTATTGGCATTGGAAGAGCGCATCGGAAACGTCAGCACTGGACTGAACGAGGAAACCATATTAAGTCGCATGAAGCAGCGCAAGTACACAATTGTAGTTTGCATGGATGCGGAGGCCGAACCCTGTTGTATCTGTCAGGTAGAGTAAACCGCTCTTTTCTGCATCGCAGCGCGATCCTAAAGTCTGCTTGTTCATGATTCTTGAGAGCTTCTATGACAATTCAGAGCCTAACATGGGACTCTTTTATATGCAGGAGTTGTACAACGAGGGAGAGGGTGTTGGGACTCTGGAATGCGGGCATGATTTCCACACCGACTGCATAAAGCAATGGCTGATGCACAAGAACTTGTGCCCCATCTGTAAAACGACAGGCCTGACCACGTGAGACGCGGCTGTCATTTTTCTGCTGATGTCTTGATGTCTGGCCAGATGAGTGAAAGGTACTCACAGCATCTAAGCAGTTCGCAGAATCATATACCAAGTCAGTGCATGCCTGCATGGGCGTGAAGGAGCTGAAGAAGCGTATAAAAGGTGCATATCCTTCGAAGCTAGCTATCTAATGCTTAGCACTAAGATGGTGGCGTCTTTAAGGGGACCAGTGAATCGTATTAAGTCGTCGAAAAATAAACTGCTGCGCGGCATTTCGAATGGAGGGCCTTGTTCAGCTGCGGCTATAAAGGGTGTCGAGTCCATCTGTACTGGAAAAATGTATAACTCCGTTTGCATCGAAACGAAATCATGCAGACTCTTTCTCATGCATGTCCTATTTTTTCTTCTTAAAATTTATGCAAAACAAGATTCATGTTTCTTCCATATTATTTTGTTCTTGAGTTAACATTGTGCTTCACCGACTAAGAAGTGGAGTGTGTTTCCTTGAAGGCTTTCATTACACTAGAATATTGATATTGGTCATAAGGAAAATCATTTAAATGGCCTCAAACATTTTTCTTTTGATCTATGCCATCGGTAGAAACGCTCAGTTTGAGTCATGACTACCATTTTATGCCAAGGAAGAGCCTCTTGCCCTTTCTTGCTGTGTAGACTGTGTTGGCGGAGTTGCTGTAACGAGCTTGTGAATCGGCGTCGGAGCTCTCCGATCACCCCAATCACCTCACGCGTGCCCACCACTAGTCGTTCCTCGACACATGTAAAATACCCGAGCAACTCCAGGCCTGACCATTTGACGTCCGCCACGCCCAACTTGAGGATCGTAACTCGCGTCTCTGGAGCTGTGAGCGCATCCCTTGAACGCCATTTCCTTGGCCTTGCCTCTTGGATAAGCCATCCTCTCTTGACAATTCGTGGAAAAATCCTATTTTGATACCAGTTGTCGAACACAACGCATGGTTTGTGCGGCAACGTGAGGGTGTGCAAAGGAACTGAGAACTGCCTGGAACCAGCGGTTCCCAGCTTCAATATACTAAAATCTATGTGTGAAACCGCTCACGCGCCCACCTGAACTAGAGCGTCAATAGAGAGAGAGAGAGAGAGAGAGAGAGAGAGAGAGAGAGAGAGAGAGTACATTTTGAAGAATTTACCATGCAACCCTCTGGAGCTAGGGCAAAAATTCAATTTTAGGAACTATAGAAATGACAGTAGTACCTTCGAAACAAACATTAATCCACCAAATATTCATTATTTATGTATATATATAATTTTTAAGAAAATTTTTCAAAAAAAAAAAGAAAACATTTTAAGAAAAATGTAAATCCAAAAATCTCTAATTTGAAGCTCAATGTCCATCAACTAAGTACTGCCCTCGTTTCATTCTCATTTTGTTTGAGTTTGTCCTTTTATCTTTTACTTATGGTCTCAACTTTCGAGCAATGCCCATAAACTCACGACCTCGACTCTAAACTCTCATCAACTCACAGCTGTGCCTCCGGCTTATCATTGCCTCCCTCTCTCTCTCTTGGTCACCTTCATTTGCGTGAAACTTGATGGGACCGGTTCCATGGATCCACCGAAGAACTGGATCCATGAAACCAATTGGCAATTCTCGATTTTATAGTGGGAACCGTCCATCCGAACCATGCTCACCACTAGGCAATGCAATCTTTCGTGGGATTACACTTCCTGTCGTGTTGTTCACTCTCTCTCTCGTCTCCTTCTTCTCTCATGTTTCACTTTCACGCAAGAAACCAAATCCACGTTAATTTGCTCGGCTAAGGACTCAAGGACCTCACACACTAGCCAGAGAGAGCATACTTCCCTAAAATCACTCTTGCAAACAAGTTTGGGAGAATGAATGCTTCACACTTATAAGAGAATTCAAAGATTCAATTGATTCAAAGGTTGATTACCACTACTAATCCTAATGCCATGAAATGCGTTCAATAAGGTGTATCCCCCTCCCTTGAACACAATTTGGCTGCTCCTAGTACACGAACCAGCCACAAACTTCAAAAGAATGTACATGGACTTTACTCGCTCTTTACGAGTCTTGCCCGTACGTCGCACTCGTTCATGCATGCACATCCCACGCGCATCCTGCGTCCAACTTGTTGTGCACCGCTCGTGGTCAGCCCGTGCTGAGCTCATGGCACCTCGCCGACTCGAGTCGCGACATGGTATACAAAAATCGATCTGCATCCATCATCAGATGGGAAGGCAACAACTAATTCCCACGCGGACTCCCGGCTTCAAAATCTATACGGCCTCTAATCTTCAGGGACGCATGTAGATTCTATGTAGCCCCTTTCAAGTAAAAAGACTTCTAATCCGCCGCACGACATAACAATTCGATCCCAATACGATACGAATTCATTCAAAAGCAACCGAACTCCAACACAACGTGATTAATCAGAAATCGAACACCAAATTAACATATTCTTTTGAGCTCTTAACAAAATAAAATGGTTAATATCACGAAAAAACCCCAAATTGGTACACATGCGACAAATTTATCAAAATTAATTTTTTGATCATCAAAAATCCCAAACTGTTATATTTGCGATAAATTTACTCTCTGTTAGTTTATGTTAAATTGGATTAATACCACGAAAAAATCACAAATAGGTACACAAACTTCAAATTAGTACACTTGTCAACTGCCACTTGCCATTCAGTTCAGCAATTTGACGCTAAAATTTAACGGAAACTAATTGAGGGTAAATTTATCACATGTGTACCGGAGATTTTTGGTGATCAAAAAATTAATTTGCAAGTATACTCATTTAAGATTTTTCGTGGTTAAAAAAAAAAACGAGACACATTTGACAAGGGGACATAGCTTTGCCACCCTACTTCCAAGTGGCCATGTTTCTCGGGTGGGGAGGAGGCACGGGTTTCCAAAGTCTCCCCCGAGCACAGCCGCGACACATGCGATGTTGGTAATGATGCCGTCGATTCCTACCCTTTCCTTGCCCTCCAACAAACTCCTCCTTTTGCATAAAATAGTATTATCTCACCGCATAGATTAAGGTCCACACCCCCCACAAACCACAACCATAGTCAAAAAAGCCTATTGCTTCGCCACCCGAAAATCCCCCTCCCCCCCAAAAAAAAACAAAAAAAATATGTATTAATTAATGACGGGGATTATCGCGAAGAAGAAGCTAATCACATCACCATTTCCACTAATTCCCCACCACTATCGTTTCCTCTACCCCATAAAAAACATTTTCTATTCTCCCCCCCAATTTTTATTTTTGTTTTTAATATTTTTTTGATAACATTGTAGTGGACCTTTTGAAATACTCCTCCTTTTTGTTCCCTTTATTGGACCATCGGCCTGAGGAATTCGGAGCAGACGAAGTCGACAAGAATTGTTCATCTGACCGTTCACGTGTCCTCGCTGCTATACCAATGTTTTTTTTTTTTTTTTCGGGTCGAATGCTATACCAATGTTGGTTGGGGTAATTTGAGTGAATTTGTAGGTAGGCTCGAGTCCACAACCTATTATTAAATCCAAAACGGAGGCTCGAGTCAATTTCGGCCTAATTCCATCACCGTTTCTTCGTAATCATCACCCGGTGGACTCGGAAATACGAAAAGTCGAGGCACTTGGTCGCGGATCGTTAGCCCCTCGAGTTAAAAATCGTAATTTAATCGATCCTAATACGCTCTCTGGTCAGACCTGGACCCGAATCCAAATCCGAACCCGATCTATCAAAACGGTTAATTTGGAATGATTTAATTCGAGGAAGAAATCTAAGCATCGGCCACCAGATTCTACCGACACGACCACCGTGCCACGTGGGAATGGACCCCGTCTTCTACGTCCACTCGATACGCTGAATGTTTATAAAAAAACCGTAAGACGATACGGTCCTACCCAAAAAGAAATAATTTAGTTTGACCTCTTTAGAAGTGTCGCGGCGAGAAAAACCAAATAAATGTCACGAGTAATTAAAAAAAAAACCACTAAAAAACAAACGAAAATAGATAGGAAAAAAAAAAAGTGGGGGCCGCCTTCCCCTGCCACTTCTCGCTCTAGAGCAATGCCATCATGCCAGCTCCTCTCCCTACACAGTACGCACACAGTCCACTCAAGCGCCGTGCGCAAATTCAACCCCACTCGTCATCTCTCGTCGTCTTCATCACCGTCTTCGTCTTCATCTTCGTCTTCTTCGTTTGTTTCAGCGGCTGGTTGCCCGGAGAACTGGGCTGCGGCGGCGGAGGAGGAGGAGGAGGAGGAAGTAGAGGGGAGGAGCGAAGATGACGGAGCCTGCGTTCTTGAACGACCGGCTGTCGAGGCGGACGTTCATCTTCGGCCTCCGCCTGTGGGTGGTGGTGGGCATCTGCGTGGGAGCGGCCATCGTCATCGCCCTCTTCCTCGTCTCCCTCTACTTCACCTCGAGGCGCAACAGCGCCGCTTCTTGTTCTTCCCAGAACAAGAAGATGAAGAAGAAGAAGCAGCAGCAGCGGCAGCAGGGGCGGGAGCAGGCTTCGGGGCCGCCGCCCGTCAAGTCCGTCGTCGTCTCCTCCCACGCCAACCCCACCATCCCGAGCGTCTCCAAGGAGATTCTCGAGATCCGGGTCGACCACCCCAGGGGCCCGGACTCGGACCCCGACCCCGACCCGGATGCTCTCGCCCTGGTCCCCCAGCCGAAGGAAGAGAGCCCGACCCGGCTCCACATGGAGATAGGCAAGGACCAACGGATTTCGTACCCGGAGCGGCCCGGGAGTGGCGGGTCGGGGCCCGGTGAGCAGGCGGTGGCTTTGACGGCGACGCCGGAGGTCTCGCACTTGGGTTGGGGCCACTGGTACACGTTGAGAGAGCTACAGGTTTCGACGGAGAATTTCGCCGACGAGAATGTGATTGGTGAAGGTGGGTACGGGATTGTGTACCGGGGTGTGCTCGAGGACGGCACGAGAGTCGCGGTCAAGAATTTGCTGAACAACAGGTAAATGTGGGCTCCGTTTTGAAAGATTTGAATATCTGCCACTTGAAACTTTTTTCGCGGGGCTCGTTTTCAGTTAGTCGTTTGTGTTGTGAGAGGTTTTGGACGACGGTGTTGTGTGGAATTGAGGTTGTTGCCAAATTTAAGTAGTGTTTGTCGGAGAAACTTTTTGTCCTGGTAAGAGTGAAAGCTTTTCTGGTGAATGTGCGGCTTCAACATTGCTGATTCTTTTTTTTTTTTTTGTGTGTGGTAGGGGACAAGCGGAAAAGGAATTTAAGGTGGAAGTAGAAGCAATTGGGCGAGTTCGACATAAGAATTTGGTGAGGTTGCTCGGTTACTGTGTTGAAGGAGCTCACAGGTAATACAGTCTATGCAATTGATGTGCTATTGGTTCATAGAATTGAAAATAAGCGGATAATGCGAATAATAATAATACCCTTGTTTGGCTGTCATAGGATGCTTGTTTATGAGTATGTCGACAATGGGAATTTAGAGCAGTGGCTTCATGGGGATGTCGGGCCTTGCAGCCCGCTCACGTGGGAGATTCGCATGAACATCATCATCTGCACTGCAAAGGGGTAAGTCTTTGTGCTAATTCAATTGTAGTAGAGTTCATTTTTGGTTTAGTATTTGAAGTCTCTGACCATGGGGATTGAACAAAAAGCACAGCTTAACTTACCTGCACGAGGGGCTCGAGCCCAAGGTTGTTCACCGAGATATCAAATCGAGCAACATTTTACTCGATAAACAGTGGAATGCGAAAGTATCTGACTTTGGCCTAGCGAAGCTCTTGGGCTCAGAAAGGAGTTACGTGACAACTCGTGTGATGGGAACATTTGGGTGGGTTAGCATCCCCAAGCTGATTGGTTTCAAGTTTACTGTGTTTCATGATGTCATTTATTTTTGTTCAATTGAAATGCATGACGATCACATTGGTTTCCTTTTCCTCAGATATGTGGCTCCGGAATATGCCAGTACGGGCATGCTGAATGAAAGAAGTGATGTATATAGCTTTGGGATTCTCATAATGGAGATCATTTCCGGGAGAAACCCAGTGGATTACAGCCGCCCTTCTGGAGAGGTCAGTCTTGCCAATACGATGTTGTCAATCCTCAATCATCTTTGAGCATTTGAGGAGCATTTCCTTTTCCTCTTCAGGTTAATCTTGTCGAGTGGCTTAAGACAATGGTTACAAATAGAAACCCGGAGGGAGTTCTGGACCCGAGGTTGCCGGAGAAGCCTTCATCGAGAGCCCTAAAGCGTACTCTTTTGGTAGCTCTGCGTTGCGTGGATCCAAATGCTCAGAAGCGGCCAAAGATGGGTCATGTAGTTCATATGCTCGAAGCTGATGAGTTTCCTTTTCGAGATGTAAGTACGCATTCTTATCCGTGTCCCATATTTCTGGAGTCGCGCCTCAATTTCCATTAGACTTTAAGATATTGGCAAACATTGATCCAGTCAATTTGTTAAATCTCCTCCCTACCGTCTAAGAACAATTAACTTGAACTTGCCATCATTTGACATTTTAATATGTTCTTGCAAAGATTAGCATTGCGAGATTGTCTTGCCAATGGCCAGTCACTCTTTGTCCTCTTATACATATTCCCAAAAAAAGGTATTTTTGGCTTTGAGCAACCATCATTAATGGGAAGTCATTTTGGAATCAGGGAATTGGGGAGGAACCTATACAAGGCAGATCCTTTCGTTTTGTAACCTGCTTTTACTATGCTTTATCCTCACGTATTCCTAGAAATTCTTAAACAGCAAAACGTTGTCTAGGAATGAAGATATGCCTTGTACGATTCATTCTGTCTCTCTAAAGTTTAGTTAAATTGCATGCTTAAATCATTGCAGGACCGTAGGGCTGGACGGGAACATGGACGCTCACATCGGGATATTTTGAGGGATAGGCTGTTGGACAAGCGTGTAACTGAATCGGGTGATAGTAGTGGATATGAGAGCAGTGTGCAAAGCAATATGTCAATGTTGAGAAAGCAAGATCCCGAAGAGCAATAGCCTTGACAACTCCTTAACAAGGTGAAGTGTCGGACGTAATCTTGCCTACTTCTTTCCATGAAGAGTTGGTTTGTCTCTCTCGACTGTGTATCTAGTTCACAATATTTTTGCCTTTAACCCTGTGTAGATTTTGCTGCATTTTGTCCCATTCTTAGTGTTGTGTCAGCCACTTCTGCTTTTGAAGTATAATCTGGGTGGGATCTCTGGATGTTGTAGATGTCTTTTATGACGTAGTCTTCTATTCAGAAGATTTTGCCCCTGGATTGGATCTCTGTATGGTGTAGGTGTCTTTGTATGATATTGGCTTCTATTCTGAAGATTTCAGCAAATGATGTGATCCAACTCACTGGAGTTATTGATTGAATGCTCTCATTGTCAATTTTGGTCTCTAGTTTTCACAACTTGGCGATGTCTTATGTTTTCTGCTATTTGCTCGTCTCTCTGACTATACTATGAACCCATGCATTGACAATCGTGCTATCACGTGCCTTATTATATGCACATATATGTCCTTTTTAAGTCTCCTTCTCTTTTTAATTGTCCATCTGTGGTAAAGTAGTTAAAGCTATGCTGACATATAATGAGGATTATTCGTCAAGCACCATCCTTGGGATAATGAAGTCGCTTGACCATTACATTTAAGTTCTAAAGCTCGGCTTTTGCATTGACTTGGTTGTCTTCACAGCATCGACGAAGAATGTATTTTGTTAACCAAAGAGGGAAGATATATGAACTGTACTCATGTCAAACTCATTGAAGCTGAGTGGATTGAACCCTTTTGCGGAAAAAGTTGCAAAGAGAAAAGGGAAAACCCCTCACTGGACGTATTGTGTTGGGAGAAAGGCGAGCTTGACTCGAGAACTAGTAAGACACGAAGCTCTTTTTGGCATGGAGTCTGGTGGGTATGAAGACTGAAGGGGTCTCTTTGACAGCTAGAAAGTGTTCTATTTTGAGGAACAGGGGACCCTTTCATGTTCTTGAATCTTGATTTTGATGTAAGAGTGGCAAGAGGATCCTCTCTCTTTGGCACTGATCTTCTTGTTGTCCTGGGATGGGTTTTTTCATTCCCTTTCTCATTGACCTTCCTTCGACTTGGGTCGACGAAACTGCAACGTGTTATCCGGTGGGATTCATTCTCTTTTGCAGAGCTTCCTCAGGTTTTTAGAGAGGTGAGATGTGGGCATGTTTGATTCCTTCTGTCAGGTTACCTTTCGAGGTGAAGAGAGGTGATAAATGTGGCTATTAGGAATTGTGATCCCTGTTTTAGAGTTTAAAGAAGCGGCAGGGGAAGAGAGGCGACAAGAGTCGGAGGGACAGGCGACTTCGTACCGAATCCTGACAACGGGCTAATTGGAACTACAGCAATCTAAAATGTTGTTTACCTGTAGCATGGAGGCATTTTTGGAATGGATGGGAACCAACAAACACGATACATCGACTGAAGATGGCCACTCCTTCCCAAGCATGAATCGCATGGTTAGTGGTAAAATTGAAAGGCGAAGGACGGAAAATTTGGGATAAGCAACTTAAGAAAAATTTCTTTTGACTAAAAATTTGTAAAACCCGATGTCATTGATTTCTTTGTCGACTTGTTTCGGCGTTTTTGTTATTCATGGGTTCTTAATATCATCCCTTTCGAAACAGGCTTCAATGGGAACAACTACGCTCAATGCCCTCCATTTGTAATGACACGCAAACTCTAGTTTTTGGTTGGTTGGGACAAACTTCTGTCCTTCAGCTAAGTACTATGCTCATGTTCAAATTGCAAGATACCATATGCTTGTCCTATCACAGATTGAAGTGCCACAATGGGCATGAGACTTGAATCTATACTTGCCGCTGACTTACAAATTGCAAAAGGTGGCTTCTTCTTCTTCTTTTATCGTTTAGCGAGTAAGATGTTTGGCATGATTCTGACATGCGATCCAAGTACCAGCTTCACGTAGCCAAACCAAGTTAGCTTATTACAGAATTATGATGGGTTATGCTGAACATATTTCGTTCAATTCGGTTCAGTTTTTTAGATTTTTTAAAACACAGTACGCGAATTATTTAACGAGTGCTTTTGGAAACTCGTTGACAGATCAACCTTTGGACGTCAATGCTTTCGAGCTTAGGCTGGTGGCAACAATGGGGCTTTTGACCACATACTTGCCACCATCGTCCATCCAACTAAGATAACCAAACACCACAGTCTGTTTCATCTGTTTTGGACCTTCTATTGTCAGCTTATAACTCAGCTTCTCATACTTCTCTTCGAATGTCAATCTATCCGGCACAACACTGACCTTGAATTCCTCCATCGGATTCAACTTTGCTGTGTAGGTTGACGGCCCATCTCCCACATTCGTCACCGTCCTGTAAAATTCTTGCACCATGGGAGAGTCTGAGCTGTTCGAACTAAAGAAGGCAATGAAGGAAGGGTAGTTCAGGTCCAGTGATGGGTTTGAACAATTGTAGGAAGATGACCTGGTGACAATTTGAATTTGCTTGGATGTGTAATTCATTGCACACATGAGGTTGACATAGTCTTGGGGCGTCACGTCGTATATGAGCCCGGGGTCTAATGCCTTGTTCGGATCAACATGGCCAGCTCCCATGCCTAGAGGGCTCGCCGGTTGGTAATCATTCCCGATGTCTTTGATAGGGCTATTTGTGCTGTCCATTGTATATGCTGTAGTCATCATGGCCGACCGGATGGCTGCGGGGCTCCACTCGGGGTGCGGTCCTCTCAGGAGCGCAGCCACTCCAGCTATGTGTGGGCACGCCATCGACGTTCCCGACAAGAGGTTGAAGTCGTTAAATAGTTTATGCGAGTCCACTACAGCCGCTGGATTATTTTGAGGCCACCCAGCCAGGATCAGTGTCCCAGGAGCCAAAATGTCGGGCTTAAGGACGACCGGGCAACTTGGTGATGGGCCACGAGAGCTGTAGCTTGCCAAGGTCGGAGCAGGCTTGCTGCCAATGATTGTTTTCCGAAAATGGATACTTGCTGTTGGCTCGGATGAGTTCCTGATGTAGGCTTTGATGGTATTACCATCTGCAGGATTCAAAAAGATTGTAGGGAATGTAGTAATAACGAAGAAGTTCGGGTTGGAGCTGTTTACAATGAACACACCACCAGCGACTTTCGCTCCATGGACTTTTTGGACTTGATCCCCTACAGTCCCATTCTTGTCCTCACACACAACAATATCAGATGGACTGAGTTTTTTCAATTCGACCGTATTGTTGCATGCGTCCATGAAGACAATTGGAGATTTACTCAAGGACGGGTCGCCTGGAAAGAGAGTTGAGCCTGCAATCGAGACTCCATCACCGAGGGTAACAGTTCCCCCGAAGGCACGGTCTATTTTCCCGGCAGCGACAGTTATGGCCCACGGAATCCCATTGTGCAGGTTCTCGAGGGAAGCTCCCTCGTTTCCCGCGGACAACGATACAGTGATCCCTCTCTCTATGGCTGCGTATGTGGCTATTGCAATAGGGTCCTCATACAATGGAACACCATCAAAGCCTAATGACAAGGACAGGACATCGACACCGTCAATGATCGCTTGATCGATTGCAGCGAGGACATCAGCAGCATATCTGCCTTCGTCCCACAGGGCCTTGTACATGGCTACTCGGGCCCGTGGAGCCACGCCAGAGGCAGTACCTGGAGCATAGCCGAAGTAGGAGGCGTCTGCAACATAATTTCCGGCTGCCGTGGTAGATGTGTGGGTGCCGTGTCCTTCAGTGTCACGCGTAGAGTTCATGGAAATGGTAATGTTGGGATTTTTGGCTACCAAGGCCTTGTTGAAAAACCGGGCTCCGACAAGCTTTTTGTTGCACATCGAAGCGTTGAATTGGGTCCCAACCTCACATTCGCCTTTCCATTTCGCTGGGATTGCAGTCATTCCGTCATCATTGAAGCTCGGGCTTTCCGGCCAAACACCTGTATCCACAAGCCCAACTATGACATCCTTGCCGTAATCCGAGGTAGGCCATGCTCCAAAATTAGAATTCAGGCCAAGAAATTGGGTCGAGTGAGTCGTATCGGCTTTTACAAGCAAATCCTTCATGGAAGAGATGTAGCCCGGAGAGTTCTTAAGGGCCTCGAGCTCACTAGGAGAGAGACTAGCACTGAATCCCTGGACGACATGAGTGTAACTGTAGATGAGCTTAGAAGACATGGGTGTGGCACTAGCTTTGGCTCTAACTTCAGGACTAGGGCTTCGCACTACTGATGAAACAGTGGCCGAGTACCAGCTATGGGGATCAGAGAAGGCTTTGGGCATGGAGGATAAGTCCATGTGGATAATATAATTGTCGGACTGCCCTATCGTAAAGGCAAAGCAGGACACGGTTAGAATTAGAAGCCTCACCACGTATGAATGAATGCGATCAACCATGATCGGCGATTGAAGTGAGCTAGTTTCAGAGTACAGCTGCCTTCATATAGGGAATACAGATGTATAGGGGTATCTTATGGTGGACCCTGATCTCAATGCTCTGTTCTCAACCTATGGAAGTAATCCAAGAAGGGGAACAAAGGATTGGAAAATGTATGCATTTTTCTTAAAGTCACATGGATGTTGGGTGAGAGTCCACCTTTGGCAATTGAGTGATACTCAACTTGTTTTCCCTCCGTACCGCGTCATATTTTCCACACAATTGTATGAACAAGAATCCAAGTGGGCTCACCCTTTTGGATTCCTTTGGAAATATCCAATAAGGGGAGATCGTGCAATTATCTCTTCATCGAGAGTGACGCACCTATAGAATCGCTAGGCATCCGGAGCATGATTTTTGGTCGATATTGATGGGTGCATATTGCAACATCAAAACATGTCAATCTTTATCAAGTTTCTTTGGCAGCTTCATGGTTTATCTTAAAGGTGAAAACGTGAGGGGTTGTAAGACAAACGCTCACTTGGGAGAATTGATAAGGTGGGTAGAGGTTGATATACCTTGATTGACCTACAATTTACTAGTTTAAACTTTTGAACGATTATTGTTCCAACTAGATATGTTAATTGGCTTGAATTTGGACGTTCTCTTCATGATCTTCTCACAGTATCTTTGGAAATTGTCCAATAAGTCCTAAACATATTGTAAATATGCCAATTTAGTTCATTTTTTTTTAATTTTATCAATTGAGTTCCAAACCTCTTGCGCAAAATTCTAATGTAGCCCTTTCGATAAATTTTTATCGGAAATCGCCGACGTGACAGTGTGCCATGTGAGATGGCAGATGATGACTGATCCGTAATATTAGCTATTTCCGGTGAAAATTGATCGGAAGGTCTATATTGAAATTTCGGGGAAAAGTTTAAGGCTAATTGATAAAATAAATTTAGGACTGATTAGGTAAATTTTTCCTATATTATCTAGGTTGAG